TCAGATAAAGCTATCAAATCAACTGTAAAATATTCAGAATATTATAATGCACAAGGCTTGTACTGAATCCTAAGGTACTGTATATAAAAACATTTATATTCTGTGATCATTCTGGTGCCACCCCGGTAGACCCGCCCCTGACTGTTGGTAAGGTAAGAAGCGTTTTTTAGCTTGTTGCTATTCGGTCTATACGATGTTCTTCGTGGTTGCTAGGGTGTGAGGGTGCTTACTATCCAAAAGAAGATGCTCAACCAAGATCCCACCTTGATGATTTTCTTGTCCACAGATATGACTTTGAAATAAGTCTATAGGATTTTTAATCTGTTTTATTATCCCTCAAAGCATAATATAAGGAATGTTAGAGGGGAAAAAATTAGCTTTCAATGCCTGTAATCTACTCACTTCTAGCCCAGGAGGCGCTGTTTCAGTTCCACACTTGCATTCTGGCAGCGAGTGGGTCTTTTTTAGTGGCTTTCTCACGGCTGCATACTGCACAGGCTCTTCTGTAGCAGAAGCGGTCTTATTGGAGGGGTTTGTGGGTAATGAATTCAGAACAGCTGGACCGATGGCCATGGGCAGTTTTGTCTGCTCCTCTCGATCTATTGCTTTTCCATTTCTCTCTTCTTCCTCATCTTTCACCCTCCACCTATTAATTTCCGCAAAACCCCCATCAGGCTAGATAGTAAGAAAACAGAACAGGATATGAAGTGAAATGACAGGACAACCATATGTAAAATCATCTATAATATCTCCCCTTCTGTATTAAAATCATGAAGATTCGCTATGGAAAACTGGCCATGTACCTGCATACAGGGTACAGTCAACATCTCATTAAAAGGCCCCACAGGATTATGGGTGTAGTAGCTGATTAGGTCATCCAGGCTTCTATGACGGCTGTGTTCTCCAGCAATTAGATATACACTACCAGATGATCCATACTCCTCCTCTTCAATTATGAAATGACGACACCGGTCTTCTCCTCTGGGGTTTTAATGAATTTGTTATTTAATGAGTGAGTGATATTAGAGATGTTGCAAATACGTACAATGACACCACAACGTAGTTGAACACACGGCATAGCCTAATGTCATTGCATTAGATTGCATCTGTAAGTAAGACACACTAGTATTTTACTGATATACAAGTATTTTTAAATAAACAGAAGCACACTGTTCAAGCAAAATGTTTTTTTACGTTTAGGTTTTAAATAAAAATTGTTAAGTTTTGCGAAAAAGTATTGCAATTGAAAAAATGGCCTATTAAAGGGAAGTTAGTTTTGAGAAAAGGACAAACATCATTTGTGTGCAAATGACACTTGATTTGATATTTTGTTGTACGCAACAATTTACAGGCTGTCAGTTGGTCACATTTTTGACTTTTCAGTTGTGCAATGGTGACTCTTCATACAGCTTACATTAGTATGCCAGTAGGTGACGAGCGAGTCTGTCTTTATGAGTGAGTTTAAATCATTTACTCAACTGATTTGTTTAAACATTGACTCATACAAGAACAAAAGAAATAAACTATTTTATTAGTGAGTCATTGAATCATTCACACAACCAGTTTGTTCAAACTCTGACACACTCAGGAACAAAACACCACTACTG